TAAATATTTCGAAGATATGCCTCTTGTTATAATTTGTATCACCCCTTTTGAAATCCAACTCTAAATGGTAGTGGGGTTGAAACTTTAGTTTATAACTTTTGGGTTTATTGGATAAAGATAAAGTTACCTTTCAAAAAGAAATATCAAAATTTGTTCGAGGGTTTATTTAGCAAAATATGGTTCATTAACTATTTATGATATGGTGCGAAATTTGGGGGCGTTCGTATCGTTTTCGCGTGAGTCACGATGGCGACTCCACCACCACATTCGCCGGAGTCAATATCTATAAATTCATTAGACCGTCTCAACTTTGGCGATTTGCATACGATTTATTGTGATTGTGGAGCAGAAAATGCAGAGCAGAAAATGGAAGTCGCCCGGTTCAAAGAAGAAATGGGTCGAGATTTGGTGTTAAGCAGGGTTCAGTCACTCGCATTGCATCGTCGGATTGAGCGCACGGAGAAAAAGGTGACTTCGTTGACTGTATTGGTGATTGGACTTGTGATTGTGACTTTCGGTTTTATGGTGGAGAAGTTTCTTCGTATCGTAAACCCCTGATTTGTTGGTGTTTATGTTGGTGGTTCGTAGTGTTTGTGTTGATTAGGTATGGATGTGTCTTCTTTTGGTAGTATAATGTTGTGTATTAGGGTTTATGTGTTTGTTTTGGCGAAGGTGATTGAAGACCTATCTAAGCACAGGCAATTTTGTATAAAGTAAACTTTGTAACCGGGTTTATTTAATGGAAAAATAGTAGTTAATGGAAATTACAGTTAATTAGTGTGAAAGAGGGTAATTTCGTCCTTTCACAATTTACCCTTACATATACTCATGTTTCAGACACATATGTGGGCTTAATAAGCTTTCTTTTGCTCTCATATCCTTCTTACCGTTCAAGTGACCTAACTGAAATGAAGGGTTCGATGAAATCAGTTCAATGCTCGTGTGGATGTGAAGCAATATTACGAACGTCAACTACTAAATACAACCTTGGCCGACTCTTTTATGCTTGCCCCAAAAAGGTAAATGTAAATTGCATGTTAATTGTTGACCTAGATTTTGATAACTTGTTTATGGGTTTGGTAACTTAATCTAGAACAAATAATAACTTCCATTGTAGGGGCCTCGTGATGGCTTCATATGTTGGGCAGATGAAGTGGAGAGTACTAACACGACTGCTGACACAACTTTGGTTACAAATTTGGTTCTGGCAAATAAGAAGCTTCAATCTGATGTTAGAAAGATGAAGTTATGATTATTTCTAAGTTGGGCTGTTTTTTAATTTTTTTTGTGGTATTAGTCTACAAGTTGTAATGGGAATGTAAAGGTTTTGTAATCGCTTTCGTATTAAATATGGTTTCTTTTCCTATTAAGATGAAGTTATGGTTATTTCTAATAATGTTTCCTTTCATGTTTACCAATGTATTTGTAATGGATTTGTAATCCCTTTCCTATTAAATAAATGAAAGTGCCTTGCTATTATGTGTCATGGTTTTGTTTGTGTTACTAATGTACATAAAAAAAACATTCAACAAACGCATACCATAATAATACTATTACGAAACAAAGTTAAATAACACATCAAACAACCAACCTAGTCTTAACACAATACCAAATAACAGTTATGTCTATTCAATATTCATTGGATTATCACCAGAATTTCCTTCTCCATTTTTCCCTTCAACCCTTTTTGCCAATTTTTTCTTTATAATCCTCTCTGATTGCTTCCGTTTACATGCAACTGTTTTTTTTGAACCACTTCCTTCCTCTTCATTACCACCTTGAGATTGCTTCTGTTTACGTCCAACGGTTGTTTTTGAACCACTTCATTCCTCTTCATTACCACCTTTAGTAGTTGATCTCTTTCTCTTCACCTTGAGTTTTTTGGGCTTCTCAACTTTAGGACATGTAGCCTTGTTGTGACCAACTTGTTTACACACACTACATAGAATTTTCTTCCCAACCTTTGACACGGTGTGTCTAGTACTCTTTTCTCCTAGGTCCTTCCTTCTATTGACTTTAGGCCTGTCTGGCATTTTCCTTTTCAAAGGTGGCAGTGGTGGTATAAAATTGGTACTTTGCCACATATTACTGCCATTCATCCCTCTCAATGGATACTTGTAAGCATTTCTATAAAAAGCTCCAAAGAACATGGGATCCACATAACTTCTGACATCTCTATTTAGGTAACTAATAGTTGCAACTGAGTGCACACACCCATACCCATTTAGTTGCCAAACTCTACAAGAGCATGTCTTCTTGTCTAAGTCAACGACATAAGACTGCTAAGTTTTTTGTCTCAAATTGGTTCAACCCAGTTGGTAAAACCTGCCAATATCTAATAACATTGTCTAAAAGTTAGTGTAAGTTTAGTATTATCTATGATGTTAACAAACACAAACTAAGTTTACCTTTGAGCTTTTTTCAATTGATTCAACAAGGATCTAATTGATGGACATGGTTCAAAATCTGGCCATGAACTGCCTTTCATGCTCAAATGAAACTGCATTTCCATAACATACAATCTAATCTCTTCAAGCATTGTGATGATTGGTTTCTTCCTTGCATCTCTTATAACATTGTTAAAGCTCTCCGACAACCCATTCTCTACAGCATCACACATCTTGCCCTCCTCAAAAAAAGCTCTACACCATGATCGTGGGTTCTTTTCTGTTAGATACTCAAAGGTTGAAGGATTGAGAAGTTGTATTTCCTTCATTGCTGCATTGTGTAAAGGCTCAGTAGATGCCTTGCATGCCTTCCAAAACATCTTCTCATACATTACTTCGGGAATCTTTTCCTAAAGTTGGCAACAACATGCCTTGCACACTGTTTGTGTTCAACAGTACGCAAAATCTCCTTCACAGCTTCCAATAGTCCCTTCACATTAACAATTTAAATTGTAAAATAGTATAGGCAACTTTCATTAATAAATAAAATACAACTAAGAAACATACCTTATGCTGATCTGACATCAATGCAATTCCAAACCCATTGTCCATTCCTAAGTCATCTTTTAAATTTTCCAAAAACCATTTCCAATTCTCTTTGTTTTCAACACACACAACTGCCCATGCAATCGGAAATATATGATTATTAGCATCCCTTCCAACAACAATTATTAACTCTCCAGTACATAGCCCCATAAGGAAACAACCATCCAGGTTAATTACTCTTCTACAACTGCCCCTCCACCCTTGCTTTAGTCCCTCAAAACATACATAAAACTTACTAAAATAATTTTTCTCATCAGGCATAGTAGTGACATCAATTTTCACAGTTGATTCTGGGTTTGATCTTCTTATCTTCTCACCATATGACCAAAGCTTTGAATAGTGCTCAACCAATGTGCCTTCAATTAGCTCAATCAGGGCCGGCTCTATGCTTTACAAAACCAAGCAAGGGCTTAGGGCCCCCAATTCTAAAGGGCCTCCAATTTTAAAACTTATTATGTTAATTATATCTGTATATATACATATTTCCTGGGTTGCAAAGACAAGTTGTAGCTTGACCTAGTGATAAAAGTGGTGGTTTAGCAAACCAAGGGTCTTAGGTTTGAATCTATTTGCTTTCCTAAAGGGCCTCAATTTTTTTTGTTTTCTTAGAGCCTCTAAAATGGTTGAGCCACCCCTGAGCTCAATAGCATGCTTTTTTGCTCTCCTACATTGACCCATACTTGCATCTATACAAAAAGCCTGTTTCACCTCTTCCCTAAGCATCCTAACACTCATTTTTTGTTTTTGTAAGGACTTAGTTGTAAAATGGCCACCAATCCAAGCATAGCTAACAATTGATCCAAGTTTATAATTTCTAGCACAATTATGTTCATCTATAAGGGACTTAATCTGGAAAGAGTTTTCTTCACTCATCCATGAACCCCATAGCCTAAACTTACACTGCCCAGACAACATTTAACTAATAGTCTTCTACTGTCATTTTTTTTGTAGCACAACTGATACCCATTAGCAACAGCATAATTACATAACATAAGCTTTAACTGTTTTGGACTATGAAATCGCATTCCTAACATAGGTTTTTGTTTTTTCCAATGCACATTTTCATTGTATGTAGTAACATGTTCAATATTTACCTCATTTTCTTCCATTTGAAGATATGAATCCTCATGAGGTGGACTATTTGGAGTTGACTGGACTTTTGGGCATAACTTGCTCAAAAACTCATCGTTAATGGTCTTATTCATTGGATTGCCATCTACGTGTTCAAGGTCATCGTGTACATTACCTTGCAGTTCATCCGAGCCATTTTGCATAAATCCATCATAATGATTGTCTCCCACAACGCTCTCATCAACTTGCTCATCAATAATCCACTGTTGGACATTCACACCTAGATGATACATCTATACATCCACGACACAACTAGCAGCATACCCAGCTTCGATGAAGTCCTGGTAGTCTGTTTCATTAGCCAAGATCCTCAATCCATCAGGAAAGTCTTTTCCAGGCATGCAATAAAAAACATTTACACACATTTCATTTGCAAATCTTTGTACGAAGTTAACAAACTCGTTCCTGTCCATTCCAGCAAAATCAACATCTTCGAACCTTTGTTCTGCTCCATCTGTATAACTAATTTCGGGGTACCTTGTAGAAAACCCAGCAAACTGAAGATCGATCTTCATATAACCCACCATGAGATTTTGCAGACAATAAATACAACAAAAAAGGGAAGAAGAAAGTGAGGGTTTTTATATAGACAAAATTGCAAAAATGGTCCCTGTGGTATGCAAATTTTTGGGGTTTTAGTCCAAACAGTGACTTTTTTGGACTGGTGGTCCTTTTAAGGTAGTTTGCTTGTGATTTTGGTCCTTCACTAAATTGAAAAGACTAAAATACCCTTCTGATATATTTTATATGTTTATTTCTATTTAATTTAAGGTTTTATTAATAAAAAATATGGGACCCACCTCTCTCTCTTTCTCTCTCCAAACACACACAACCCCTAAAATACCGTTGGATTCATGCTTTGCCTTCTCCACTGCTATGCCATCGATCATTGGAACCAAAATGCTATTTCTTCACCTGCTTCCCCTTCTTTTTGTATTCGGTCTTCAGAACCTCACCACCACTAACATCCCTCCACAACCTCCACCGTTGCACCGTCCTGATGTGGGTAGGGAACTCATCAACTCTGTAACAGGAACAACAACGGAGCACCATCCTCCTACGTATTTCTCCTTTGACGTGGCTCATCAATCTATAAGAATAGGAGATGTTTCTGAAGTAGCTTCTTTTCCAATCTACACGGTGGAACCCGATAATAACTCCATTGATATTGAATCTGTACAGGATTGTGACTGGATGAACAAGAAATCAGATACAAGACCTACATCACATAAAAAGAAAAAACCTCTGTGAAAACCTAGAAGATGAAAACTCGGAATGATCGAGAAATCTGAAACCGATTCCAAACTCAACTTTTTAAACGGGATGATTTGGAGACAATCTACACACATATAATGGAAAACATGTTAAGAACTTAGGAAATCTGATTTCAATTGAAAAATTCCACCGGAGCAATTGTGCCTTTGCTCTACGTACCGCCGACGGTGGCGTGTGGTAATTGTTCTTGGTCGTTTTGGCTTGATTTCGACAAAAAAACGGGAAGGATAACTTGTGGATCTCAAATTAAAGTAGATGGATCAATGAGGGATCTTGTTAGAGGTTGAAAACAGTCGTGAGATGGGGGAAACTTCCGGTGGGTTTTTCACGAGATTCACTTAGCGATTAGGGGTGTCGACGAGTTGTTTTCGACCGATAGTGGGTGCAGCTAGAAATGATGCTCTCCAGGGGTATTTAGGTTTGTCTGTTGTCGAGAAAGAAGGAAGAAGTAGGACTGCAACGGAGGCCAACAACCTCCGATTGCTGCTTTGTTTTTTAAGGGAAAGAGAGAGAGAGAGAGAGAGAGAGAGAGAGGTGGGACCTTTTTTATTTTTTTAATTGTTAAAATAAGTAAATAAATATTAAATTTTAAGAATAATGAAAGAAAAATGAAAAATAAATACCCCAAGGGTATTATAGTCATTTCAATTTTCGGAGGGACCATTTTCACATACAAACCACTCCAAAAGGACTACGAAACCAAAAAAATCACTGTTTGGATTAAAACCCCAAAAATTTGCATATCACAGGGACCATTTTTGCAATTTTGTCTTTTATATAATATGTCTTGTAGGGCAAGCTCAGTAAACGAGCAGGTTACATGGCAGCTTAGGTGGATTAATTTCGATAACGTACCTTATATGATGACTAGGATAATGTTAAACGGCTCAACCCTTCCACTTTGAACAAAATGGCTTTAAAAACTATTTTCTAAGTCTTGGTTCCTCTCAAGTGTGAAAAAAAAAAAACAATAAGGACCATTTAAACCATAACTAGAAAGATGATTGGGTCAGAGCGACATTCACCCTATATAAAAATAGACAAGAAAGGAGGGTTGCCAAAGTCCAAAACTCGAAGAGGTTCCTTTCGATACTCTTATGGTATTTTTTGTACTAAAAAAAATTTTATATTTTTTGTACATTTATAAAACTGTCGCCTTTTTAACCATTTTCCCATTATATTTTAATAAACATATTTTATTTGCACAAAATCATACAAAATGTTACAATATTACTTTGGTTACTTGACCCATCCTTCCACAACAACATTTTGCCAAACAAGATCTGTATCGACACCCAAATATTTTAAAATTTTATTGAATCTTTGCACATCCAAAAAGTTTGTTGAAATTCTATCAATTTTTTGTCTAAGTGTAATCCCAAATTTATCAAAGGAACTGAAACACCTTGACATTTCTTCATAACAAAACCTCGTGATGTTTGTACACCACTTGAACAAAAAAATCTCATATTTAACAAATTTAAAGAAAGAAACTATTTACCACTTCTTCTGGACAGTGTGTCTGTATTTTAAAAGTTGAAAGAATGCACATTCTAAAGCACTTAAGATATGGACAAAGATTAAAAAAGATCAGGATATTGCTACCAAAAAGAAAAACTCAAAAGGTCAAAAAAAATGCACAAACCCATAAGATATGATCTCAATGGCATTATGGTAAAATAAGCTGTTACACACAAAGTAATCATCCCAACTCGAACAATATCTAACCAGACTCAAACTATGTCCCAGCCTTTCTACGGCCAACACGAGCCACAAAACCAGCCTTGATTTGAGCAACAGATCTTCCAGAACCACACTATAAAAGATACACATAAAAAATAATTAGGGATTTCAAAGCACACATGTTTATTAATATCTTTTTCAATAAAAAATAAAACAACTAAGATCATTTAGTTCAATAAATAAATTTAAAAATCCAAAAGGGCCTCAGAAATCTTAGGAGTTGTTTCTTCATTGTGAATAATCAGACAATGTAGGCAAAAGTTTTATTCATCACAGGCCATTACTAATATATATTACAACACACTTATATAGCAATCTCTAATTTCCTCTTCATTGTAAATAATCAGAGATTTTTGGAAGAAAAAAAAGCCTCAGAAATCTCTAGTTTTCTCTTCATTGTAAATAATCAGACAATGTAGGCAAAACTTTTATGCATCACAGGCTTTTACTTTACATAATACGTATCGAATGTGTGAGAACGAGAGTGAATAAATGTATATAATCAAAAAGGCCTCAGAAGTAGATGATTTTTTTCTTCATGTTAGATATAATCAGACAATGTAGGCAATAGTTTTATTCATCACAGGCCTTTACTAATAGATCATATAGTATGCATGTCACTATTATGATTGGGTAGACTTTTCAAAATACAAAGCAAGAAAAGCAAAGAGGATAGAATAACAAATAAATCATCGAAAGTACAAAACGCCTCAGAAATCTATAATTTTCTCTTCATTGTATAAACAAATCAGACAATGTAGGCAAATTTTCTATTCATCACAGGCATCCACTGTAGTGTGTGTATGTGTGTGTCAAAAAATGTAGGTGAAATGTTAAAAAAATACCTTTTCACATCTGAGAAAGAAGAGCCGATTCTCCTTTGAAAGAATTGTGTCTGGACTCTTGCAACCATTGCAGATGACATACTCATCTGTAAAACAGAAATTAATCAGCAAATTGACTTATTTTGTTATAATCAATTAATAATTAAAGACATGTAACAAATAGGCTCTCAAGTTTTTGATAACTTACTGACATATCGCCTCAGAATCCCCTCAAAATTTTTTGGAGCAAATCTTCCCTTCACAACCAATCTTTGCTGTCCATCAAGTGATCCACTTGTACCCAATTCTGCCAGCAAGAAGGTCATAACATGCTCTGGCTGCCTATGCATTCTGCAAGAAATGAATGTATGATTCATTATAATGTTAAAAAGATTTTTCTTTTTATAAAAAAATGAAAAATGTGATCATAATTAACTTACGATTTGCAAAGGTCCATAAAATTCACAAAGACAGTCTTTTTTGTTCCTTCACGAAGAACTTGTGGTGGCCTCATGACTGTTCTTCTTCTATCTCCAGCAAGCTCAGGGTTATTCTCACGAAGAATATGGAACACTCTCCCCAAAAGCTGAATCAAAAACAATAAACAAAAATATGAATTAGAATTAAATTTTTGAAAATAAAGTGTAGTAAGAAGAATTACATACCTCTTCATATATGTAGTCACGATCAGTCCCTTCCCATGGAAGTTTTTGTTCTTGTAGAACAATTCCTTCTCCTTCCTCATCTTCTCCAATAGGATCTAGAAAACATACAGAGCAAATGTTCGAGCATTCATTCAAAAAGATAAAACATAATGAAAGATGTTGTCTTGATTAAATAAGCTTCTTACAGTCAACATCTTCCCCTTCATTTTCTTTCTCTTCTTCCAAAGGGATAGTTTCAGCCTAAAACAATTATAAGAATCTTGAATCAGAAATTTGATGAGAACTTATATCCAATATAGTTATAGAGAACCAGGCTAACCTGCTTCTTTTTCTTCTTTTTTAAACCAGTAAATGAGGGTTCAAGACCTTCAGAAACTGCATGTCAAGAATATTCTTGATTATAACTCACTCAAAGATAAAAGATATGATTCGTTTGTGTAGAATGTGTTTGTGTGTTGGTTGCCAAATTAATCACCTGAGAGGCTTTCAGTTTTCTCAGCTAACTGTTCCACAGGACCATCAGCAGGATCATGGATCACGACCTTCTTCTTCTTCTTCTTTTTTGAAGGGTCAAAAGGAGCAAGCTGCATCAAAGTAGCTTTGTCAGTTAAAGCAATCTTTCAAAGAACCATTAAAATGATTGCATGACTAATGTAAATAGAGGCAATAAACGTCAAACGTGTGACTAGAGCAAGAACGAAGAAGGAATCAGGATTTTAACATGAAATATCATGGAGATATCAACGCAAATGCAGTAGCAAATGTAATCGATTGAAATCAAAGAGAACAATGATAAATTTAAAAGATTAGGAAATAGTTACATCAGTTGCCTCCTCCTTCATCTCAATTTGGTTTTCTTCCTCTGCCATTTTGATCAAATCTGAACGATCCTCGATTTAAAACTTTCCTGGTCGAGTGAAACATAAACAAATGTAAACACAATATTGTAAGTAGTAACCAATAACACATGTAAACATTCCAATAGCTACCACACATAAAACCTAATAAGTGTATTTCAACGACCGAGACAAATTAACTATAAAACCCAATGTTAGCCGCAAAGATCGTGATGTCAGTAAAACATCTACTATTTGGAAAATTCGAATCCAATCAAACAAAGTTAACCAAAGAAAGACGATAACACAGCTCGTACAAACAGATGAGATATTACTTCAAGCTCAAAACAGGCATCAACTAATTTCGGACGATAAACCCTACTTTTGACAGACAGTAGATCCCTAAAATTGGTATAATCGATCGAGATTCAACGATAAGAAGATATAATAAACAGCAACCATTAGTATATGGGAAAATTAAGAGGGTGAATAGATTAAGAATACCGTCAAGATCGAAATTCTCTTTGTTCCGGCCGAAGATGATCTGCAATTTTTCGATGAAAGCTGCGTTACTACATTGCGGCTCCGTAAAGGCGTATATATAGTAAGATTATTTAGGGCACCCTGTTTTGAACTTGATTCTTTTTTTCTTTTTTTCCTTTTTTTTTTTTTTTTTTTTTTTATTAATATTTGTATGGTTAAATAATACGAAAATAACTTAGGAAGCTAACAAAGTGTTGGACTTGTTCTCATTTTATCTCTTATTATACCATTGAACTTATTATTCATGCTCATCAAAACCCTCACGGTCGGTTGTTGTAGGTTACTGCTTATGTGGCTATTACATGGTATTATGTGGCATCGACTTGGCTTATTAAATGCAAGTCATATGATATTAAGTTGTTATATGCGTCATTCTAATCAATTATGCCCTAGATTTACATGGTTGCTTCTTCTTCTTCTTCTATCTCTTCCAAACGAAATGCTGAATTTCAACATGAAAATCCTTGTGATTGTAGGTTACCATCTCGCGTATGAACTTTACGAGCTAAAGACAATCTGGGAAAAAAAATAAGATTGTGTCCTAACTCCATGGTAAATCAAATGTTTTTACTTTTTGGATTAATTTTTTCTTTTTTCAATAATGAATGACCAAAATGCAAGTTCTATGAGTGGTTGGAGCCTAAAACACCTAAAAATGAAGCTAGTTCTCGGAAGGACCAAAAAGAACTGTGCGATTTAACCCTCAAAGTTTCTACATTGGAAAACGAGATCAGCATTTGCAAGATGAATATGGAACAATAAATTTTGGTTGTTAGACAAGAGTTTGAAAATTTCAAATGGAAGTTATTTACTCATAAAATTCTGATGATTATGTTGTTTTTGTTGTTTGTGTTTAAGTAGTAGTTAGTGAAGTTGTATTCAAAGACTAAATTTTATTAGAAAATAAAATTTGGCTTAATGTTGTATTTTGTTTGTTGTATCAAGAGTAAGTCTTGTTGATTAATGATAGTTTGATGTTTTGACTGGTATTAAATAAATATTAATATGGTAAATATGTTAGTGGATTGGACATGATGCAGGGGTAAAATGGTACAGATTAAGCATATCAACAATCAATTGTTAATGTCTTGATTACGTTGGTGAACTGAATATGATTCGTGTTAGTGAAATAAATATGATCCACTGGTAAAATGGTCCAGATTAACCACAACAACAGCGTCAAACATTTCTTAATGTACTTTGACTTATTTGAAACGATCCATGGGTAAATAACCAAACACCAAAGCATATAATATAGATAAAAGACAAACTTGTAAGATTCCATTAGCGTGTGCACCATTGCAAAAGTTGTACCCACATTTGTCCTAATATGTCAAAAGATGTGCCATGACTGAAATTTTTCCTAATTACATAATTAAAAGATTAAAATTTGTCTTCCCAAAAATATTAAATCATAAAACCATTCCAACACCATTGGGTGGTGATCAGTGCTTCTTTCTTCAAACCCTTCTTCCTCAACCCTATCTTGGTAATTCTTTTTTGAGTATTTCTGTATCCTCTTCCCAGTTGCAACCGGTTGAGCAAGAACATCATTAATAGGTTGAGCATGATCATCCACTTGAACTAGATCTACTTGAATATCATCCACTTTAATTGGATCCACTTGAACCTCCACTTATATTGGATTCGCTTGAACTGGTTCCACAGTACCTGCTATATAAAGGTGTAGTCAATGAGTTGGATGTTGCAGTATAATTAAATTGTTTTAATAGCATGCCTTTCTCTTTTTTACATTTTATAGTTTTCTTCACTTGTTGGCCTTGAAATGGATGCTACGTCTTCTGGTCTTGTAGGACATGTTGATCTATTGTGGTCCCGTTATCTACAAATAGTGCATCTCATAACTGTACCTGCTTTTGAGATGGTATGCATTGTTTTTTCCCATACTTTCTCTCTCAGATTGATCCCTTTTTCTTTTATGGGTTGGCCTTCCTGGTAACCTTATTTTTTTAGGAGACAATGGTTTCATGTAAGGAACTTCAGGCCACATGGAACTACCATTAAGTGGATTAATGGTATGGTTGTAGCAAGTCAAGAACATGGTTATAGTAAACCATGGTGCAACATAATCCTATGCTCTGTTGAAGTATGAAATGGCTACCACTACATGTACACATGGGATGCCTAATACTTGCCAATATCTACATCCACATGTTTTGTTGGTAAGGTCCACAACGTATCCATCATTTCCAAGCCTACATATTTTTGTATCCCATAAGGTACAACTCCCTAAAATTTGTCCACAAAAAATAACAATTTCTATTAATTTTACATTTTTAATAATAGTATTAGAATATAATTTATAACATACATTTGATGTCTCTTTAACTTTGATATATTTAATCTTATAGATGGGCATATTTTTAGATTACCCAAACTATATCCATCTGGCAACATTTTATACATCTTCTCTATTGCATAAATTTGAATATCTTCCAACATGGTGAGGAGTGGTCTCTTCTTAGCAAGGTCAATAACATGGTTGAAAATTTTTGATATGTCATTATCATAAGCATCACAAGCCAAGTCCACTTCAAAGAATACCCTACATCACAAGCCATATTTGAATCTCTTCCGACATGGTCAGGAGTCCTTAATATTTCTTCTCTATAACTCCATGCTTTACCATAATGTTCTATCAAACTACCCTCTATCTCATTCAAAGCATATTTCATAGCATTTCTACATTGAGTCACACTAACAATCAAGTTAAACTTTATACTTACCTTGGCTTTCATTTTCATTGTGCTCATTTTGGGGTTCTGCAAAAGTTGATTCTTAAAATTCTTTCCAATCCATTTATATGTTACAATGGAACTAATTTTGACAACTCTTGAACAATTATGGTCATCGATTAAGGACTTAATATGAAAAGACCTTTCACTACTCATCCAGGAAGCCCACAATCTAAAAAGGCAATATGGGTTATTATAATTTTAACATCATCTTACTAACAACCTCTGACTATCATTTTTCTCATAATAAAGTTTGTATCCATTATTCGCTACATAGTTAGTCACACAAATTTTCAATTCCAGAGGGTTAGAGAATCTCATACCTAGAATTGGCACCATTTTGTTCCATTTCTTATTCTCATTATGGACAAGGTACACTGTTGTCATCCCCATTTGTAACGTCCGTAGATCCGGGGTAGTCAATTTAGAAGCAATAAGTGTCGAAAATGACTTTTCGGAAAAATATTATTTATAATAAATAGTCTTAACCAAGTTGTATAATATGTTTCAAGGTTTCCGTACATATAAAGAACGTCGAAGTTTTACGGCAAAACCGGCACAACACCGGGAAGCGTAAATAGTAAATTTACGATGAAGCGACTTTTAGCATTAGAAATCTAAAAGAAAGTTGTAGTATATGTTAAACCGAGAACATACAAAAAAAGAACGCCCACATCTGACTTCGTATGAGGAATTTATGATTTTTCTAAGATTCGGGTTAGCAGTGCACGACCCGAAACTCGAATTTTAGTTCGAGCGGTTTTTGGCTTACACGACCTAAATGAGAGTTGAAGATCTCATTAATAGGAACTCAACGGTAAAAAGATAGACGAAAACGGAGTCCGTATGAAGGAGTTACGAATTCTTCGCGGTCATTTAACAGTCTAAACGCCTCCTACTATTAAATTTGAGATCGGTCGAGAATTAGCCGACGGAGTCTAAATTAAAGTTGTAGATCTTGATTTTACCTACGCGTTGAAAAAAAGAACGTCGCAAACGGAGCTCATATGCGAGAGTTATGATTTTTATAATTTTGAAGGCTGATACGCGATAGGGGGTGACGTGGCACCACCAGAATTGGACATGTGGCACCACCAGAAGGCTGCCACATGCCCCAAATCGGCGAGTAGGTCCTCCTACTCGGCGAGTACATCAGGAATTCAACCTATAAATAGAGGTGTCAGGTTCCTCCATTTCCCACACCTTTTCCCCGCTTCTTTCTCTCTCTAAACTCTCTCCAAGCCTCCTTACCCCCCCCCCCAAAGCCTAGGGTAACTCCCTAGCACAAGGCGGAAGCCCTGGAGTGCCCGACGACTCCGAGAAAAGATCCTTTCGACTCGGGAACGCTGCTCCAGCGAAGCCCGGTTTTGCAAAAAACCTGCTGTAAGTGAGCTACGCCTACGCTATTTTTAATATAGCTTCTAATTAATTATAGTAACATTATTAGGACCTTAAAATAATTATTTGGGCTATTATTATGAGTTATATTGAGTGTTATTTAACGCTTATATTATAATTATAATAGCTAGACTATTAATTAGTCGCGGTTAACGTCAGACTAAACCCTAGTCATACTGATACTAGGTTTTGTCAAGGAAAATTGTGTTAAGAGTAACGAAGTGTTGTCCAAGCGCCGAGTCACCATCTTCTTAGGTGTGCATGGTCCCTTTCATCTTACACATAGATATGAAGTATTTTAATATAAATTACGTGCTATGTGTGCATATTGTCTGAATACTTGTTGTCTATGCTGGTGAAAGATTTTTATACATGTTTTAAATGATGTAAACTGTATAAAGTATTTTATATCTACAAAATATGTTGGGTAAAACATGGGTAGATGTATGATGAGGGATAAAAGCTGAAATAGAGGAACATTAGTAGTACAGAACTAATACCCTATAAATGAGCACTGGCAGCTGCGCCACAACCCGTACATGATTTAGATCTACGGTAGCAGTTGCGCTCTAAGGACAGTATCGGCAGCTGCGCCTAATAGGGAGCCTTATGACCATGACAGTAGCGTTTAAAGGTCAATACCAGCAGAAGCACCTCATATAAAATGTCCCAATTATGGCAACTGCGCCTAAGTGACAATATTAGCAGCTGCGCTTGACCAATGTCTCATTGGCAACAATGGACTTCATGTTGTTTCCTTAGGATGATCCCTATGAACGAATGAATGAGCAATAGTTGATTCTGAAGGACTTAGAATAATGGTTTGGTCTAGGTCTTGCAGTTAGTAATAGGGGTGTGTTTGTAGTTAGCTGTTAAATTTTGGTTTACAGTTGTAATAGAGTTTACAGCCGTAAACACCTTACGGTCGTAAACTCCTCACGGTCTTGGGTGTATATATAGTGGGTTGTGTCAGACGATTTTGTTTTGTTGATGCCTTTTGTGTTCACGGTTCCCACCAAGTTGTATCAGACGTTTAAAGCTATAAAACGTATGTAAGCTTGATTCATTACTTCTTTGCTTATTAATTCGTTTTATGTGCTTGTTGTTTGCTTTTGATCTCTGGTAAGATCCGATTTTGGACCTTACAATTGATATCAGAGAGAGACCAGCGTCAAAGGCATTCTACAGTCGTGATTAGTGCTAGTTCGTACTTCTTAGCAAAAAAGGGTTTATTGTTTCATTCGAAATCTGAAGAATCTGTGTTTTCGGTCCGAGCTTACGGCCGTAAACACCGAGTTCACGACCGCAATCCCTTCAAGTTCTTAAACTATGAACCTTAGTTCTTTGACAGTAAACCGGTTTTTGGTGCAAATCTGTTAGTCTTGAAGACCTATTCTAAACCGTGTTGAACCTCGGACCGTAAAATAACCTAATCTCTTGAATTTCTGTTAAAATTTTTGAACTGAAAAATCCTCAAGTTTACGGCCGCAAACAATTTCCGGTAGTAAAGACAATTTGTTTTGGCAGTTAATTATTTTATTTCACTTTTAAATCTTAATTAATTTTTAATTAATTTAAAAAAATATGGAATCTCAAAATCAAAACCACTTTCAAGAGCTTGATGCTGTCATGGGCACCACCACGCGAATTCCTAGGCTCATGTCTGCTGATGGGTTTCCCGAGTGGAAATATAGAATAGAAAAGTACATAAAAATGAAAGATTTCAAGTTGTGGAAATGTGTCATCAAGACTCCAGTCAGAATAACCACTATAGTTGCGGGGCAAGTGGTTGATAAGAAAATTGAAAATTATACAGATGAGGATTTTGAAAGTGTGGAGGACCAGGAAAAGGCTTTGGCCATCTTGACCATGGCCTTGTCACCAGACATTGCTCAAGGGTTCAGAGAGTATACCTCGGCTAAAGCTTTGTGGGAAGCCCTGATCGAGGTGAATGAAGGAAATGAAGATATGCGAGAGAGTCGCTAGGATATGTTGCGACAACGTTTTAATATGTTTAACTATATCCCTAGAGAGACACTTGAATCACAGCTGCAACGGTTCACAACTCTCAATACATAAATGACTGTGGCTGTGATGTGCACGAAAGTACCCACTAATTTTAATATTTATAACCTAACAAACTAAGACTAACTATGCACTTATAGGCAGTGTACCTAGTCAGATTACAGTATAGCTTAGGTAAGTCGGGTGTCGATCACAGGGAACGGTGTTACTAATTAACCTAATTACTAATAAATTAACCTAATTTATTAACAAATTTAATAAGGGGGTTTTATCTGATTTTGCAAGATCAAATGAACTTAATCAAATTAATAAAAAAAAACACACTCTTGCTTAGTTGAATCCACTTCTTCCTTATGGCTAGCTAATGATTATGGGTTATTAAGTTGGGTTTTAGTTATATTAGTAATTTAGTTCTATATTACCAATAAGTAACTAATTCATGTTAAACCATGTATGTTCACACATAATTAAACACAGAACTAATTATGAATGTGAATATGCTATGTAAGATTTGTTGTATAAATGCAATTACGGTCACAATTTACGTTCTCTAGCACAACTAAGATTTATTTAGCCTAATTACTAACTAAGATTGGTCAATCCTAGCTCTAACAATTTAATGTTCACTAAATTATTAGGTAAACAAGTTCATGTAGTTTCATAGTCACTAAGCTACACAGAACATGCAATCTAGCAATTAGATAAGCAAATAATAACATGCTAGGTTATACAAATCAAACACAAACAACTCTTACCAACTCAAATTAATCCATAAACATATAACTATTCATAAGTTCAAAGCTTCATCTAGCTAAGCAAAAGTAGCTAGATTTAGCTGCTCATCATAGTAATTAAACTAGTACAGCTAAAACTAATGAAAAACATGTTTATAATCAACTAAATATAAAACTTTACTTCTTTTGGTGTTGAAATCCCTCTTTCAGGACCTTTCTTCTCTTCTGAAATGTCTCCTGGAACTCCTTTTCTTCTGCCAAAAGTCCCTTTATTCGTAATAATAGGAGAACTTATATAATCCTCAAAAACCTGCGCCACGTCGTGGCCATATGCGCCACGTCGTGGGCTCCAAGTAAAACGTATCCTTCAAGGAAATCCTCCGCGTCGCGATGTTTATCTACTGGAACACCCGTGCCACGTCGTGGGATGCACCGCCACGTCGTGAATTAAGCTCTTATTATGAAATTATTATTTTCTTGTCTTCCAAGCCTCCCATGTTCCCCATTTTGTCACCTCTGGTCCCTCTCTTCGAAAATCCTTTGTATTGACTGAAAATAACAATTTAAACTCATAAATATCACTATTCTGCACATATTATCAATTTATTAATAAAAATGTACTTAAATACTGCCTAAAAATAAGTATAAATATGGCAATATCAAAATACCCCACACTTAAGCTTTGCTTGCCCTCAAGCAAATTTACACTTAATTCTTAATTACTAACACTACACAGAACAATCCAACTCTAGTTCACCATTATGCCAAGACTCAACGCATGCATTTGTGTCTAAAATTTTCCTAAGTACCCCCCATACTTTAAATACTCACAATCTTCATAAACACTTGCCCACTTTTTCC